AGTACGCGCGTTGTTTACGTACTCATACTACACTTCTGTGCATTTTTGTTGCACAGGTATATTCATTTCTAGCAGCCCACTAGCGTAGCAGCGCGGATGATTTGGGTCTAGGTGAGTTGCACTATTCGAGGCGGCCCGCAGCTAGTATAGCCCTCTTCAGTACATTGTATTTATTTCCTGTCCATTGTATTCCGGACGGATGTTGTATTTTACCTCCTTATCAGTAGATGCTCATGCACTTGTGACACCGGGTTCTGGGATAGTTTGAAGTATTGTATTAACTGCTTATCATTTAAATTTGATTTGAGACTATATTCTTTAATATTGTTAAACTTGAAGGAAAATCATAGATTTCAGAAGTATTAAAACGAGAATTTGATTAAGTAACTTGGTTGGCTTGCCTGACAGCAATGTCCGGCGCCATCACGACTCTTAGTGGATTTTGGGTCGTGACAATTTTGATACCCCTAAGTAGCCCAATTCCAATGTTGTATGCAAGTATTGTAAAAGGCATGGACACTCTATTGACAGATGTTATAAATTACATGGATATCCTACTGGTTTTAAGAAAAAATTTAAGAGGATTGCTGCTTATGCACAAGTGTCTGATACTTAGATGGTGCGACAAACTGAAGATTCGGGAACAAACAACTCCAAGGTGATTCCAACTGATATTGGAGCTCATGTTCTCGCCAAAGAGAAGTATTATCTTCTCGTCTCACTCCTTCAGCAGTCCAAGGTGCTTCTTGCAAGTCTGGTAAATTCTACTGATTTTAATTCTGGTGGTATTCTTGCTTGCAATGTCTCTAGGATAGAGAGTAGTGTTTAGATTGTAGACTCTGGGGCTACTAATCACATGACACCCCACAGATCTCTTCTTAAGGACATCAAACCTTTACTTTTTCCTTATCTTTTAACTCTTCCTAATACAAGGTTAAAGTGACTTGCACTGGGACACTTTCTATTTCTTCCGATATTTCCCTTCCTAATGTGTTGTTTGTACCTTCTTTTCATTATAATCTGATTTTTCTATTAGAGTTGTTGCTTCACCTCACCAGTTATGCCTTATCCACTTCAACTGCTTACATTTTATTGCAGGGCCCTTTTCTTAAGAAGCCACTGGTTCTTGGTAAACTTCAGAAGGGCTTATACCTCTTGTATTCAGATAATCTCTCTCCCATTGATTCCTGTGATTCTACATTTGTAAATACCATTACTACCATTGGTGATATTCTCAATAAGAGCAGTTTAAATTTCACTTCTGGTTCTGTCAATTCCTTGATTAATGTACCTATTAGTAATGCACTTTCTGGCTTGTCTTTTGATCATGCATGGCATTTAAAATTAGGTCATATTCCATTTGCTAAAATGAAATCCATACCTGTCCTTTCTGAGAAGTTACCTAAGAAGCAAACTTTTCTATGTCCTATGCCCCATGGAAAGGAAGCAAAGACTACCTTTTCCTGAGAGCACCATTCACTCTATTGTCCCTTCTCAATTGGTACATGTTGACCTTTGGGGACCTTATCATATACAAACCTATAATAGTTTTAAATACTTCATTACTTTTGTATATGACTATACCAGGGCAACATGAACTCATTTATTGTCATCCAAATCAAATGTTTTCACCATACTTAAGTCTTTTGTGGTTATGATCCAAACTCAGTTTGGTTATCCTATCAAAGCTTTTAGGTCTGACAATGCCATTTGAGTTAGGTAGTAGTTCTGAGGCAATCTCTTTCTTCTCTCCTCAAGGCATATTACATCAAAATTCTTGTCCACACACACCTCAACAAAATGGTGTGGTAGAAAAAAAATATAAACATTTACTAGAAACAACAAGAGCATTTCTTTTCCAATCTAAACTCCCAATCAAGTACTGGGGTGAATGTGTACTAACTGCCACCTATTTGATAAACAGGTTTCCTTCTCCCTTATTACACCACAAATATCCTTTTGAACTTCTACATGGTGCTCCTCCTTCTTTTTCTCACCTTAAGGCATTTGGATGTTTAGACTTTGCCGCTGTGCCAAAACCTCATAGAGATAAGTTCAAATCCCTAACAATATTATGTGTTTTCCTTGGTTATAGTCCTGGGAAGAAAGCTTATAAGCTTCTAAATTTGTCCTCTTCTATCTTTTTTCATTCTAGAGATGCAGTTTTCCATGAATATGTTTTACCTTTCTCTGATTCTTCCTCTGTTCATCTATTTCCTCCTTCCTCTTTTGATTTTGATCTTGCACCTTCTCCAATGAATAATCCTGACTCTTCTCCAGATTCTCTCCCCTCTTCAACTTCTTTGCCTACTATTCCATTTTCTACTTCCATTCCTTCATGCACATCTGTTCCTCCTCTCAGAGATCTCCCATACTTCTTCCATGTGATCCCTATGTTCCTACTCTCAGAAAGTCCACTAGAGTTCATCAAACTCCTGGATACTTGGGTGATTATGTGTATACCTCTGTGTCCAATTCTAAACCTACTTTTTCAATTCCTGAGTCTTGTATGCTGGAACCTTAGTTTTATCATCAAGTAGTATCCAATCCGTCTTGGCAGGATGCAATGGTTAAAGAATTTCAGGCCCTGGAGGCTAACAACACTTGGACTGTTGTACCTCTTCCTCAAGGGAAGAAGGCCACCCGTTGTAAATGGGTGTATAAGATTAAACAAAAAGCTGATGGCTCTATTGAAAGGTATAAAGCTAGACTAGTCATTAGGGGGGTACTGTCAACAAGAAGGTATTGATTTTACTAAAATGTTTTATACCTGTGGTAAAGCTTACCACTATCAGGTGTTTATTGTCTATTGATGTGAAAAGAACGACTATTTTTCAAATGGATGTTAATAATGCGTTTTTACATGGGGATTTGGATGAAGAACTGTTTATGAAGCTCCCTCCTGGTCTAACTGTGCAATCTGATTTTTCAACCTCTTTATCTACTCTTGCTTGCAAGTTGAATAAGTCTCTTTATGGACTGAGGCAGGCCTCAAGGCAATGGTATTCCAAATTATCATCAGCTCTTCAATCTAAAGGTTTTCATCCTAGTCTCAATGATTACTCTTTGTTTACTAAGTTGGTTAATGGGTCTTTAACTGTGATTGTTGTGTATGTTGATGATATTCTAGTTGTTGGGATGATTTGATTGAAATTGATAACCTTAAACATTTTCTGGATACTGCATTTAAGATTAAGGACCTTGGGGAAATTCATTATTTTCTTGGTGTGGAAATTATTAAAGAGCATTCTGGTTTTCTCTTTAGTCAACATAAGTTCATTATGGATATGCTTTTTGAAATTCACTGTTCTGATGTCTCCTTTGTGGTGGCTCCCCTTGATCCACATGTGAAATTGTCTGCTGAATTGGGTGATCTTTTGCATGATCCTTCTATGTACAGAAGACTTTTGGGGAAACTCAATTATCTTCAACATACTAGACCTGATTTGTCTTACAATGTTCAACATTTAAGTCAGTTTATGTCAGCACCCAGAGTTTCCCATTTAGAAGCTGCTTTGCATGTGCTTCGATACTTGGCTGGTACTTCTCGCTTAGGTTTGCGTCTTTCTACTGCTTCTGATTTCTCACTTCAAGGTTATTGTGACTCTGACTGGGCTAGTTGCAGTGATTATAGGAAGTCAGTTAGTGGCTTCATTTTATTTCTTGGTAGGTGCCCTGTCTCTTGGAAATCCAAGAAACAACCTACTATTGCATTGTCTTCTGTTGAGGTAGAGTATAGAGCATTACGATTGTTGGTTGCTGAGATTACCTGGATTCAGCGGTTGGTTGGTGAACTTGGGGTTTCTTCTCTCACACCTGTTAATGTATTCTGTGACAATCAAGTGGCGGCTCATATTACTAAGAACCCTGTGATTCATGAACGGACTAAACACATCGAGTTGGATTGTCATTTTATGCACAATGCTCTGTCTGTAGGGGTCACCAGTCTTCATTCCATTTCAACTACTTCTCAATTGTTTGAATCTTCACTAAGACTCTACCGGGGATTCAACAGCACGCCTTTACTTCCAAGCTTGGAATGGCTTCCCCTTCCAGCTTGCGGGCGAGGGGGAGGGGGGATTAGAGCCCAATATGATGATTCACATGCCAACATACAACAGCCCATCTCAAAGTAGCAGCAACCCACAAAACACAAATAAGCGGACGTGGATCTATTTGTATTTAAAGGGTGCGACCCGACCCAGTTGTACTTGTAAATATATATACACAATAGTTAGATTCAATTAGAGACCAATGTTCATTTTATATCAAAATAACAGACTCTCAGATACTTCTCTCTCGTTTCTTTATTGTTGCCTTAGGGCTTTTCTTCTCCAGAAGGTTCTATGTCGAATCTCAATTCCAAATGTTTGCACAAACTAGAAATTGTGGATTACTCTCTCTAACTCTCTGTTGCTTCTCTCGATTTGGTGTACATGAAATGAAAGTGAGGGCCGCTATTTATAGATAGCCTCACCACCCAAAGTAGCCAATCAGATTTGGCTTTTGCAATTTTCATTGCAAATTGCCAATTTGCTTCAACCGTCCATATGCAACTTGTGTTTGCAACTTGTTGCCATCTTCTTTTCTTCTTTTTTTATTTTTTTTTATTTAGATTGGTCCCACAAATCTCCTCCTTAATTTTAATTTTTCTTCTTCATTCCAAGTCTTGATCTCAATCTCTAAAAATCTTCAAATTTGAGAGGTTTTGAAAAAATATCTCCAACTTGATCACGAGACTTCACATATTTGAGTTCTACCTCCTTCTTGCCAATGCATTCTTTGATGAAGTGATACCTTGTGTCTATATGCTTGCTTCGATCATGATACACTGGATTCTTGGCAAGTGCCTATGTGGATTTGTTATCAATACAAATCTCTGTAGCTTTAATTTGTAACAAATTGAGTTCTTTCAATAATCTTTTCAGCCAAATAGCATGGCACGCACAAGATGCTGCTGCAATATATTCAGCTTCACAAGTCGAGAGAGTAACAATTGATTATTTTTTTGAACTCCAGGAAATAACACAATCACCCAAGAAAAACACAAAATCAATTGTGCTTTTTCTATCATCAATATCTCCCGCATAATCACTATCACAAAATTCCATAAGGTTGAAGTCATTAGAAGAAGAATGAAATAACCCAAAGTCGATCATACCTTTTAAGTAACGATGAATTCTTCTAGTGACCTTCAAGTGAGTGGAGGTAGGAGCTTCCATGAAGCGACTTACTACTCTAACTGCAAAGAGTATATCTGGACTGATACAAGTCAAGTACCTCAAACTTCCCACAAGACTTTTGAAAAATGTGGGATTCACTTTTTCTCCTTCATCAATCTTGGACAATTTTGTCCCACTATCCATCGGTGTGTTCACGAGGTTGCAATCGAGCATGTTGAACTTCTTCAATATCTCTTTTGAATAGCTTTCTTGAGAGATGAAAATTCCATCCTCCATTTGCTTCACTTCTAGGCCCAGGTAGTATGACATGAGCCCTACATCTGTCATCTCGAACTCACGGGACATATCTTTTTTAAAATCTTCAAACAAACTTCGGTTATTACCCATAAAAATAACATCATTAACATAAAAGACAAACAAGCAAGATATCTCCATTAGTATGAACTTTAAGGTAAAGAGCATATTCATGGAGACAACGAGTAAACCTATTGTCTTGAAAATACTTGTCCATGCAACTATTCCATGCTCACAGGGCTTACTTCAATCCATATAAAACTTTGTTCAACTTCAACACTTTATTTCATGGTTTTTGACCACAAAGCCCAATGGTTGTTCAACATAGACTTCTTCTTCAAGATAGCCACTCAAGAAGGCTGTCTTGAGATCTAGTTGATGGATCTTCCACTTTATTTTTGCGCCACCAAAGAGATCAGCAAACAAATCGTCTTCATGAGGGCAACAAGTACATAGACTTCTTCATAGTCAATGTCTTGCCTTTGCTTGTAGCCTTTAGCCACAAGTCGTGCCTTGTATTTCTCCACATCTCCATCAACATTCTTCTTTGTCTTGTATAACCGTATAACTCCAATTGCTCGATGACCCTTGCGAAGTGTTGTTAACTCCAGCCGTTGTTCTTCTCTATAGACTCGATCTCCTCTTGCATGGTTTATCTCCACCTTATTTGTAATAGCTTCATCAAAGTTCGTTGGTTCTCTATCAGCAAAGAGACAATATAAAAAATCAAAACTAGTAACTTCTTTTGTGTCATCATAGAGCTCTTGAAAACTCCTCGTCCTTTGTGGTTATTCATTTGAACTTTGTTGAGAAGGAGATGCAACACTGGTTGGAGAAGAAGATAGAGTTGTATCCTGCACAACTCCATGGTCTCTGGTCCTTCATCATCACCAAAGTATGGAAGAAAATCATATGAAGTTTCTTCCTGAGCTTCCCAATTCCATGCTAATTCTTATCAATTTCAACATCACGACTCACCACCACCTTGCCGCTGCTTGGGTTGTATAACTTGTATACTTTTGAACTCGTATCATAGCCAACAACTACATGCTTGACACTTCGATCGTCAAGCTTCGCTCTCCCTTGTTGTGGCACATGATCATAGCCTATGCTCCCAAAGATTCTCAAGTTCTTGACACTTGGCTTTCTTCCACTCCATGCCTCTTGAGGAGTTTGATCACTAACATTTCTTATTGAAGACTTGTTATTCAAAATAAACTACACAAGAAACGGCTTCTGTCCAAAATTCCTTGGGCATACTTTTAGCTTTCAACATACATCTAGCCATATTAAGAATCGTTGGATTCTTTCTCTCTGCAACTCTATTTTTTTGGGTGAATAAGGTACCGTTAGAGGGCGACGAATTCCATGAGATTGATAAAAGTTATTAAATTGTTTTGAAGTGAATTCGCCTCCTCTATCGGACCTTAAAGCTTTTATTTCATAGCCACTTTCTTTTTCCAAAAGTACTTTGAAATTTTTAAAAGCAACAAAAGCTTAAGATTTTTTGTTCAAGAAATAAACCCAAGTCTTTCTGCTAAAGTCATCAATAAAAAGCATAAAGTATTTACTATTATCAAAGGAAGGTGGATTGATTGGTCCACACACATCAGTGTGAATAAGCTGGAGCGGCTTGGTTGATCTTGATTTGTCCTCTTTTGAAAAACTTCTCCTTGCATGTTTTCCAAGAAGACAATCTTCACACAATTTATTGGGATGGTTGATTGATGGTATCTCATGCACCATGTTCTTTTCTCCCATTAATTTGAGCACTTCAAAATTCAAGTGCCCAAATCGCATGTTCCAACATCATGATTCATCTTGCACATTAGCCTTCAAACACTTTGCATCAATTATTTTAAGATTTAGAAAAAAATAATCTATTCTTTGCCATATGCACTTTAGCAATTAGAATTCCACTTGAATCTCTAAGCCAAAGATGCATATTTTTCATGTGGATGTCATATTCCTTTTCAAGAAGTTGGCTCAAACTCAAAATATTACTTTTTAATTTTGGCACACAATAAACATCTTAAATTAGCTTGTGACTACCACCTTTACAGGAGATCAGAATCGTACTTATCCCTTCAATTTAAATCTTTGAGGTATCTTCAAAGGATATATTACCTCTCACCGTTCTATTTATCTCCACAAACTTATCTTTGCATCCACACACATGATTGCTTGCTCCATTGTCCAAATACCATGAGCTACAATCATCCTTGTCTTCTTCTTTGAGTGCCAACAACAATGTTGTCTAATCTTCTTCTTTCTTGTTGTCAACAAGGTTAGCTTTCTCTTCAACACTGATACGACATTCCCAAGAGTAATGGCCAAATTTATGAATATTATAACACTCAATTTTTAATTTGTCATACCTTTGTCCATTATTTTCTTGGTAGTAGCCAAATCCTCTTTCTCCTCTTTGTCCACCACCACGACCTCTGAATGTTTGGTGGATTTTAACTTCATTGTTGAAGTTGTTACCATTACTTCTTCCTCTTCCATTACTGCCACGGCCTCGTCCATTCCCTCGATAGCTTTTTTCACCTCCATAATCCTTAAAGGATGCCTGAGTTTTAAGAAGTTGCTCCAGCGACACTTCTTTTCTGCTCTTGATCTTTTCTTCATGGGCCTGTAAAGAACCTTCCAACTGCTCCATTGTCATAGAGTCTAAATCGTTAGACTCCTGTTAAGCACACGCTACAAAATTAAATTTAGGTGTTAAAGTGCGAAGGATCTTTTCTACCACACGGAAATCTTCTATGTCCTCCCCGACTCTTCTCAATTAATTTACAACAACCTTCACTTTGAACAATAATCCGAAATGCATTCGGATTCTTTCATTTTTAAAACTTCAAAAATCAGCCTTTAGAGTTTGAAGTTTTACCTTCCTCACCTTGTTAATTCCTTGGAGAGAAATTTGTAAAACCTCCCAAGATTCCTTTGAGGTGGTAGAATCGGCCACCTTCTCAAACATGACATCATACAAACATTGGTGGATGCGCGTGAGGGCTTGTTGATCCTTCTTCCTTGTCTTTGCCAAGACATCTTTCTCATTTTGAGGCAGAACCTCCTCATTATCGGTTTTTTCATACCCTCTGTCTATGATTTACCAAACATCCTGGGAGCCCAGAATGGCTTTCATATGTAGACATCATTTCTCATAATTATCTTTTGTGAGACTGGGATACTGAAAAGACAACGGACCATTATCTGTCGTGGCTCTGATACCATATTGTTGGAAAACTAATATCCCGCCCAGGAACTATATCCATGATAATCCATAATAATACAAGAGAGTACCAATGACACTAACTCTTTTAACTGGGTAAAATACAATACCCGAGCAGAAGAATATATGTAACGACCCGGTCGGTCGTTTTGAGAGTATGAGCCCCGATCCCCTATTTATTGTCCCTTCTGCTTCATTTTATGCTTACATGACTTGCCGGGGTAATTGGTGTCGGGTTCGGGAGAGTTTCAGAGTGAAATGGGACACATAGTCCCTAAGTGTGAAGTTTGAGTTGTAAGAGTTGACTGTAGGTTGACCTATGTGAAGACAACTCCGGAATGGAGTTTCGTTGGTTCCAATTGCTCTAAATGGTGATTTTGGTCTTAGGAGCGCATCTGGATATTGATTTGGAGGTGCGTAGGTCATTTCGGCGTTGTTTGGTGAAAGTTAGAAAATTAAAAGATTTTTTGAGAGTTTGATCGAGAGTGGACTTTTTGATATCGGGGTCAGATTCAGACTCTAAAAATTGGAGTAGGTCCGTAATGTCAAATGTGACTTGTGTTCAAATTTTGAGGTCAATCGAACGTATTTTTATAGGTTTCAGCATCGTTTGTAAAAGTTGGAATTTCCTAAGTTCATTAAGCTTGGATTGGGGTGCGATTCGTGTTTTTAGCATTGTTTGATGTGATTTGAAGGCTCGACAAAGTTCGTATGATGTTTTAGGACTGGTTAGTATAATTGGTTGACGTCCCGGGGGCCTCTAGTGGATTTCGGATGGTTAATGGATTGGAATTTTGAGTTGGATGATGGTTGAAGCTTCAGAAGATCTGGTGTCTGGTTTCCTTCTACGCATTCGCGGTAGTTCTCCCGCGTTAGCATAGAGGAGTTAAGTGTTGCTGGTATTTTCACGTTCGCGTGATTAGGGTCCCACGTTCATGAAGCTGAGTAGTCTAAGGTCTACGCGTTCGCGTGAGGGACTTCGTGTTCGCGTAGAGGATCGATCAGTTGGGGCCTTAGGCTTTTAGCCTACGCGTTCGCGAGTGAAGGTCCGCGTTCGCGATGGCCTGGGGGCAATGTTCATCCCGTTGGCGAGTGGGCCCTCGCGTCCGCGTAGAAGGTTTTTGGGCAGAAGCATTTTTGTGCTTCGCGAACGCGAGGAAGCTTCCGCGTTCACAAAGAAGGAATTACCTAGGCAGATTGTTAAAAGTTCAAAATCGAGGGTTTATGTCATTTTTCACCATTTGGACTTGAGAGCTCGGAATTAGGTGATTTTTGGAGAGATTTTTACGTGGGTGTTTGGGGTAAGTGATTCTTACTTAATTTTGGTTAATTTCCGTAATTATACCTTTGATTTTATCATTAAATTAGTGATTTGGGATGGAAAATTGGGGAAAATTGAGGGAAAGTTCTTAGGCCGAATTTTGAAGTTTTGATCGAGATTTTGGTATCGGATTTGAGTAATTTTGGTATGGGTGGACTCGTGGTCGAATGGGTGTTCGAATTTTGTGACTTTTACCCGATTTCGAGACGTGAGCCCGGGTCGACTTTTTGGGACGATTTTCTAATTTCTTGTTAAAGTCATTTCATTAATTAGATTAGTTTCTTATAGTTATATTTATAGTATGTAATTGCTTTTGGCTAGATTTGGGCCATTCAGATTTGGAAAGTCGAGGAAAAGGCATTTTTATTGACTGATTGAGCTTGGTTCGAGGTAAGTGACTTGCCTAACCTTGTGTGGGGAAAATCCCCTAAGAATTTGGTACTGTTGCAAGAATTTGTGATATGTAAGTGCCGTGTA